TTGTTGCCGCTGCCGCCATGTCGTGAAGACGCTGTGTGCTTCGTTGTGAAAGCGAAACTACTTTGTTTGGTCTTCCAAAAGAGGACGATATCCGCTTCGTCATGCCTAGAGCTGATCTGTGCTGGTCGCTGAGGGAATACATCAACTTACATCAACTTGCTATGGATCGCCGGATCGACTTTCACCATGGACGAAGCGGAGTCCAGCCCGGGGTCGTCACATGTGGTTGCCGCTCCTTCGTCGAATCCGCCGGCCGCGCCGTTCTCAACCCTGACGCCTCTGCTCACTCTAGCCCTCCGGCCTCAGCTCACGCTAGGCCGCCGTGTTTTTCGTTGTGAAAGAGAAACCGCATAAACACATTTCATTACACCAAATACACAAAATAATGTTCTTTTTAGCAGCATCATATGACCCCTTTAAGCATCATACAATGTAATGATTAGTTAACATTATTGAAGAAAGAAATTATAAATGTTTTCTATATTACTTCAAATAAAAGAGAGTATAACCTGCAATGCCATGTTATGTCATGACTTTGTCTTGTTAAGAAGGCATAATCAATTAAATTTAACATGTTTGCAAAGAAGGCCTATTACAAAAAAAAATGTAGCACAGGCCGAAACAAATTATTATTATTATTATTATTATTAAAGAAGTTTCATAACATACATTGTGTGTAAATAGCCTACACTTTATTTTCAGCGTTTATGAGCAGCACACCCATCTAACAAAATATAGCCTACTGAATGTTATGAAAAAGTTTTTATAACGTTCCCATTAAGTTAAGAAAAAATTGTTTCTGAATGTTCTTTGAACGTTCAAAACGTCCAGTTTTTAAATTGTTTTAAAAGCGTTTTTTTTCTTGGTTATGCAAAGGTTAAAGGAACATTCCATTTTGACATTTTGCAAACATTATGGGAAATTACTTTTGAATAATTGTTAAACATTCTGAAACAAGTAGTTACATTCAAAACTAAAGGTTTCGAGTAAAATCGTTCCATGCACAATGTATATACAGTATTTGTATAGTAAACACATTTGTTGTTCATAACTTTGCCAGAGCGTTAGCCACAGTTCTGAGAACGTTCCATGTTAGCTGGACAAACCCCAAAGAGCTTATTTGGGACATGCCCCGCCCCTAAAATGAAATTGTAAATATGATTGGATGGAAAAGAGAAATATCCCACCTCCAGTTTAAATGTAGGTTCTGATTGTTTACCTATTTATTTAGTATTTTTTAGTGAGTTATAACGTTATATAATAAGAGTTATAGATGCCTCTGTCTTCTCATTGATTCCAAATGTCTCTGCGCCAACATTCAGTGGCGTCCTTGTTGTAACAAGATTTACGTACGAGTACGGCGAGTAACGGTGGCCACAGCAACGTGTAGATTTTTTTTTTTAATTATGTATTATGATAAAGCAAGATAATCTCCTAATTTTGCATAGCAACAATGTACGCTTTACGGTTACTAAAACAACTTCTCTCAAGCCCTGACTGTGAAATGTCCCGGATGAGGTTGAGTCACCCGCGTTGACGTCACTCGAGCTCTGAAAATGGCTGAGTTGGAAGAGGAGGTGGATGTCTTGGTCCAGAGAGTTGTGAAAGATATCAATAACGCCTTTAAAAGAAACCCGAACATGTACGTATGTGAACTCGCATGGTTGTTTATCACGCGGTCGTCTAGTTTAATGCTTAAAAGCGGTCTGGACCCTCGCGCTCAGCCGCAGGGAGAACATAGTGCAGCAGCCTGTGTAACTTGCGCAGACAGACAGCGGCTGGCTAACCGGCCACTAACCAGCGGTCAGCAGCAGAGAAAGCTCACCAAGCCTCGCTTTTAGACCAGGTCGTGTTAAAATGTGTCTGGGGTGCCTATTTAACAAGCACCGTGAAAACGCCGAAAGTTGTGAAACGCGAAGTGTGCATGCTTGTCACGTTGTAGCTAGTAACGTTACTGTGAATGTTTGGATTTGTTAGTCGCTGGTCAGTAACTGGCGGGCGTAGCGAGCTTTAATACATTATATTTATAGTCATAATTCTCAGTAATTGTCCTTTTGTTTTTACTGGTAATTCGGGTGAGACGATCAGTGGTTGCAACATCGCTGCTCTTGTGTATCCAAACACATCTCTTCAGTCCACATATGAAGCATCTCGTCTGTTTTTTAAAGTTGCCTGTGTGTTGGGTCTGTTTGTCCCATATTTATAGGGTCAGTGCCCTGTCCCAATGGTTTCATCTCACTCTTCTCCTATGACATTCTTGTATGTAATGAGTCCGTGTCAGCTGAGATGTTTGGTGCTTTATGCATTGCTGTTTGCCTTTAGCTCCTTAGTATTTGGCAGAGTTTCTTAAAATAGCCATGTGACTTGTTCTTCATTTTTATCTTTTACAATGTGTTCACAGTGATGAAATTGGCCTCATTTCGTGCCCCGAAGCCCGGTACAACAGAAGCCCCATCGTCTTGGTGGAGAATAAGCTGGGAGTGGAGAGCTGGTGTGTCAAGTTTCTGCTGCCCTATGTGCATAATAAACTCCTGCTGTACAGGCAGAGAAAGCAGTGGCTCGATCGGGAAGGTAGGACGAAGGTTTATTGGGTTAGCTTGTTCAGCCGGCTCACATTGCTGTGACCTTAGTCTTTATTAAAAAATGGCTGTTCATACAAAAGACCGGCGTTGCTGAAAAAACTGACTTCTCTCTCTTCTTCTCTTCAAGCACTGGTAGATATAACCTGCACATTGCTTCTCCTAAACCCAGACTTTACCACTGCGTGGAATGTCAGGTACATTTTCAACATGCTTGTATTACCTGAACAAAACAACAAAAAAAAACATTTTACTGAACTAACTAACCCTTTCACATACTTTCTGAATGATTATATGCACATCTGTGGTATTTTTAGAAATTCTCTTTTTCTTCTCTTTGATGTCTGTATAGATTTCGGCCGTATTATTGTTCTGAATGTGCTGTTGCTATTTTTAAAAAAGTTGTCTTGGGAAAGGAGACATCAAAAGACTGCTGCTACATTTAACTCTAAATGTGACTTGATTTTCAAAATTCTCATAGTGAGCACAGAACTTACTGATTTCTCCAACATTTAGTTCCATAGTTCCATCCCAAGAAACACTCTAGAGATATTTATGCCATGCCTGTTTAAAAAAAAAAATCTTTAATGTTATTTACTGTATGCTTTTTTTTTTATTAGGCTTTTTTTACTAGGATTTTGCACAAAAATCTTGGCTGAATGTCTTTGTGATAATGTTGCACGGAAGAAACATATTGTCCAGGAGGTGGTGCTGTACTGTTTTTTTTAATGGGCTCATAAATAAAACAGTAAGTGTTAAATTCCTTGTGCATCTTGGCATATGTTGATGATCAGTCTGCTTAATTGGTTTGTTGTGAACGCAGGCGCTGGGTGTTACAGTGGCTGCAGAAGGAGTGCTCTCCTTCTGGACAAGAACTGAAGGATCAGGCTGAACCCAGAGGAGACGCTGTGAGGAGGAGACAGTGCGAGCGGCTGCAAAGAGCCTTGCAGGAGGAGATGAGGGTCTGTGCAGACGCAGCCGGCCGTTACCCCAGCAACTACAATGCATGGTCCCATCGCATCTGGGTATTGCAAAACATGGCTAAAGGCAATCTGAAGGTAGGCCGTCTCAGTCCACTGCAGCTTTCTGCACTATATCTGTGTGATTTATCATAATGACTGAAAACGGGTGTCTGTTAGATGTTGCTTTGTTTGCGTACATTTCAAAGATTAGATTTGTCTTCGATTACTTTAAGGAATGATGGATCACACTGGCATATCATCAGTGTTGTTACAAGGAAAGCAACATGAGATGGTTATTTAAGAGGTTGATAAATCTACCTGAGCCTTTGATGATCTTAATACCTTTCTTCTCCACTTGAATTACCTTAGGAAGAGACCTGATTACAGATGCCACAGCTTTCTGTCTTTTTAGCATTTATTTATTTTTTATTTTTTAGAGAGAGCTGAGTGCTGTTAGTCAGGAAAGCTTATTGCCTCTTAGGGGGTCACTGAGTGCCAGACCCTTTGATGTGCTTATCCTTTCTTAATTGGATGCAAAATTAGGCAAATGTTACAGGGCTCAATCCAAGCTAAAAGCCCTCATATAAAAAGGATGAGCCTGTAGATTTAATGATCCAGGACTAAACAGACTTGAACCAGTCTGAGCTTTTCATAGGCTATTTCAGGAGTAATTGGGTTATGCGGCTGTCGTCTTACAACTCTGCATGTCTTGTTTGACTCTGTTTTCCTTGGTCTGAATTTTCATCCTAGATCACTGTAGTACAATGTTTACTGAGTTTACAACCTAAATGAAGTCATGTTTTATTTTAAAATACTCTTGGATATTTAATTATGCATGCTCAGTTCCTTTATTTTTACCTTTAAAACATCTAATGCTCACTTAAAGTTAATCTTAATAAGCATTAATATTTTAATAACACTGTTAAATATAAACTTCAGCAAATCTCAAAATTAATATCTATTATTCATGTACATTATAATGTTTTAATGCATCAGTTGATATTTAAAATGATTGATTTTAGTTTTAGTGTTTTATTTTTCAATTATTTAAACAAAATTGTATACATTTAATATCAGCCATTCATCAGTTATTGGTTAAAACATGTCAAAAAGAATTTTAATATTGGTGCATCTCATTTTTGCAGCGCTGTAGAAAATTTATATATATATTTTTTCTTTTTATTTAGACAAAGTTGTATGTTTAATTTCATCCATTTATCAGTTTTTGGTTATAACGTCAAAAAGAATTTTAATATTGGTGCATCTAATTTTTGCAGCACTGCAGAAATTACTTTTTTTTTTTTTTCATTTATTTAGACAAGGTTGTATATATTAAATATCAGCCATTTATCAGTTATTTGTTATAACATTGTCAAACAGAATTTGAATATTGGTGTAACTATTTTTTGTTTGCATATTTGAACAATGCATAATAATATGCATATATTTGCATAATGCATAATTGAATGCATTTGAATAAATTTATTGATATGCTGACATTCGTTGCCCTTCCAACTTGGCAACTGAACTAAAATGAACAAAAAATTCAGCTGCAACAGCCTGAATCATGATGGTGTTAAATGAATATAATACTCTGTGACTTTCTACTCCAGGTTCTGCATGATGAGCTGTCCTCCACCCGACTGTGGGTGTCCATGCACGTGTCAGATCACAGCGGCTTCCACTACCGTCAACACCTGCTCAAGGCCCTGGCCAGAGAGCTGAGCCAGGTTGGAGAGACGGAGCTCCACCCCACCCAGCAGCCTAATGGAGAGAGCACAGCGGGCGCGTCTGATGACAATCACCATAATGACGTCATCCCTCAGCTCTTCCACGAGGAGATGGAGCTCTGCACTGATCTCATCGAGTCATATCCAGGCCACGAGACGCTGTGGTGCCACAGGTGAGAGTGCTCGAAGCCAGTTAGAGATCTCCAGGTCTTGCTGTGCCGATGATAGTCGTGCAATCAGTCAACATCAGACTGTGCTTCCACAGGTCTCAATGTGAATACAGTGACTTTGTTTGCCAGAAGTCTGTCCTTGGCCCTCAGCTGGTCTGGCCTGATGTGTTTATGGCTTAGTGTTATAAAATGATGGATGGTCTTATGTTGCAGAGTTGTAGCTCACTGAGGGAGAGGCAAGCAGTTTGCTGGATCTTTTTCAAGCTCTTTCAGTTTTTCCCCTTCCCAGCCTCATCCCTCGTGGCTGAGGCAAGGAGCAGCTGCTCGGTGAATGGTGTTTATGTATCTTTAGCTTGTGTTTCCCCCCTAAAGTGTGTCATGGCAACAGATCTATTTCATTTACAAGTCTGCTGTTAGTTTGAAGATATGAAAAGTTGTTTGTGCCTCTTAATGATAAATATAATAAAACAAAATGCATTACTAAGCTCTAGCTTGCTTTAGTCACAGATGTTTCATACATAAGCCTTTTTATGGTTATTGAAATCAGTGTTTGTGTGTATATATATATATATGTATATATGTATGTGTGTGTGTATATATAAAGGTCAAGTTCTCCGCAAGGAAAAGTAGTGGATACTAGAGTAGTCGAACTTGCCATTTTGTCAAATCGCAATTCAACTACATTATGTGGTTTTATCATATAAACTACTTTTAGGATACATTTATGGTGCATTTGAAAGCTTTTTAAAATGTGGGTTCATTGTAATTGCATGGTAAAGAGTAGGGCTGAACGATTTTGGAAAATAATCTTAATTGCGATTTTTTTTTACCAATATTGCGATTGCGATTTAATATGCAATAATTTTTTTAAAGCTCTTTATGTTCTGTATTATTCAACAAAGACAAGCTATAAATCATTGTATAGTATGACCAACACAATATTAGATAAACATAAATGTTCTTTTCTGTAGGCCAGGCCTATATGTTACGATGAAATTAGGTGATGCATGAATTGATATGAATGACATTTTTATTTAACAACTACAATCACAGTATATTGACTGATTTGTTGAACTTCCAACCTTGTAAGCATGTAATAATTATGACAACATAAAGCACTGACAAATAAGCCTGGTGTAAACATTAATATGAAAGTCAGTAACAAATCACACAAACTAAAGATTGCAAAGATTGCAGAAATATAAAAACAAATCTGTTGCTTTACCACACTACTTTAGATAATTCAAAGTCACTGTAATAAACATATGTAAACATGTGGACATAACAGTCATTATATAGATCAGTGAGTAGAACCCATTATAATCAGTGACGCTGTGTACACTGGATGCAGCGCGGCGCGACAAAACCCAGCATTAAACTGATGCCTTGTTCTATTTATGACGTACTGACACAAAGTTAAAATGATTTGCAACGGTCGCTTTTTCGCATCCAGTGTAGAGCTGTTGCGGCGCGACGCGACAACTGTAGTGTATAGACACGGTGAGTGAAGCCGAGATCAAGATATGCCTTGTCATATTTTCTGCATTTAGCATTTGAATGACCAGCATCTGCCTGGGTCTGTGCGACTTCATCTATGGCTTTTCTCTTCCCTTTCACAAACCGATCCATCTCCCATTCTAAGTTACATCCTTTGGCTGTTTACCGTTTTATTTCTTTTCTTTTTCTGCTGATGGCCCGCGCTCGACTTGAAGCAGCGATGGGTGTGTGTCATCAAAGTACTGCGAGAGCTATAAGAGAGCGCGGACGTCTCCTTATGCTTTCTCTCGCCTTACTTTGATGTCATACACCGATCTGATCTTCAAGTTGAACACACCTCTTTACTCTCGTGTGTCACGTGACCGTGTAATTGCAGCCTCTGCGATTGAAAAATCGCGTTATTTCATATCGCGATATTATCGCAAATGCAATGAATCGTTCAGCCCTAGTAAAGATCAAGTAGCACATTTTACTATGGTAAATCCTGTTCTGTGGAAGAAAGTCAAGCAGTTTTGGAACTACATGAGGGTGAGTAAATGATGACACAATCTATGAGACAGCCAAGTGCACAATCAATGAGATATTAGTAATTAATTAGCAAGTAATTCTGTATGTAATATAGTTTGTGATGTATTTTCTTTTATTTTGGATAGAGTTTTTTGTGGTTTTCGAAGATGAGGGCGTGTCTTTTAATAGTTAGTAAGCCTATTAGGCTAATTTTGCTATTCTGATGTTGAGCATTTTTTTATTTTCCCTGTGACTAATCATATCAGACCTGAATCCAGACTTAAATAATAATGTAAAGTGCATTTTAGTGTTGTCAAAAGTACCGACTTTGGTACCAGTCGGTACTGAAATTTAAAAAATGATGATCCCAGCATTTCTCGCAAGCATTTTGAGCGGATTCTTAAACACCTCTGACTGGCCATTGTGATCACACACTCAACAGATATGTCTGTGATTGGTTACAATGATCATCGCCTCACTCTCTTCACCGAGCGCTTACACAGATCTACGTGGGGTGTTTGAAAGTCGCACAGTGGATCCATCAGTGAATCCCTGATATATCTGCTCATAGACGAATCGTCTGATAGACGCTGCTGTCAAACGCTCCCGTGTTTATGTTAAGAATCCGCTCAGCAGCGCTCAAAATGTTCGTGGGAAATTCTGGTATTGTCATATTTTTTTAATTTCAGCACTGGCTGGTACCGAAGTCGGTACTTTTGACAACACTAGTGCATTTTATTTTATAGTCAATTGTATTTCAACATTGAACAAATTCATATCCAGGCTTCTCCAACAGGCGACATGTCTTCTACCTGTGGCACCAGTGGCGGAGGGAGCACCTCCAGGAGGCAGGGTCACAATCTCCACCTCTCACCCACATTGACGTCCTGCTCAGCGAGGAGCCCTGTGATGAAGCCAGTGCTTCCCAGGCCATGGACGTGGACTGTGTTCTGGATGGGAGCAAACATGGAAGCTACACGCAGGACACCAAGCGACTAAAGCGGGGACCCCGGCTTCCCCACCCCGGACTTCCCTCCGAGCACACGTTTGTCTCTAGAATCCTCACAGGCTGCCGGAGCCCCGAGCAAAGCTGCTTTGCCATTGCCTACAGGAAGTGGCTGGACTCAGTTATAGGTCAGTAGCGTGAGAAACACTCCACCCACCATGATGTGGGAGAGCTGTGATAGGTCAACTTATTTCTGGCTCCAACCGCCCACACCCGCTTCTCTGAAAACGGCTGGACTTCTTGGCCGGTTTGTCAGAGATGCTCTGCCGGAGCAAATTCCCGCTCATGATGAAAACCCATGACCCGTCTCCGCAGTCTAAGCCTGGTCTGTTTCAGCTGCTTTAGTTCAGGTACTGGATATCTCAGGTCTGTTTTCAGTGTACAATCCTTTTCTCTATCAGAAGCTACAAGTTTGTATTTTTTTTTTCATATAGTTTGGTTGGTTTTTATGTTGTTTAAAGTCTTCCACCACAAATCAATAATAGTATGCTCTCCTCATGCTGTCTGCAGTTTTATGATTCCTGTCGGGAATCTTAAACGCACACTGTGGTGCACACTTGAAGGGAACACTTAGAGCCCAAAGTGATTCTGACCCAGTTTCCCTCTTTGTTTAATTGAGGGCAGACTGGCTCTGAATTCCATCTACTGCTCCTCTTTGGACTTTTGTACTAAAGCATGAAAATTTTTTCAATGAATACCTAGAAGTTTTGCTACAATCAGTAACGTGAGCACAATCATTGAATTTAAAGTTTCCTGGAGGCATTTAATATGAAATATTAGGGCTAAACACAGACATTTTCATGAGTTTTAATAATCTTAAATAAATAAACCGATAACTGCACATGAAATTGACCGTTTCTAGGTGCTCTCCTCATTCAAGTGAGTATTTGTATTATATGACATAACTGTTGCAGGGTCAGCATTTCTTCAGTTCATGCAGATGATTCTTGGGCGTTTGAGAATAAATGTTCCTAAAGCACATCATCATCATCATCACTCATTAGAATAACAAAGGCCACGTTGTCACATGGACTAGCCTCAGCATTTAAGCACTAGTTTTGGGTTATAGTTCATCCAGGTGGTCTCACAGATGCATGGGTTTTCATGATGAAAGGGAACTGCAGAAGCGGGAATAGGCTTTTCTCAGCTTGGCCCAAGCGTGGCTGCAGAAATAACATGATGCCACGTTCAAGCCCATCTGGTGCAGAATGGTGCTTATTCTCTGCGCCGGGGGAGTGTGGACCCCTGAGGGGCCTGGGTTTACAAATGCTGCTTTTTGTTTAACACTATTTTGAACTTAAAGTATATTTATGCAAATATGAAAAGTGAATTGTTGTTAGCTTCACTTATGTGATTTATTAAAGATAATAAGCTATTAGACGGTTATGGTTGACTCACTGTTACTCAGTAATTATTCAACTTGTAATAAACTTTGAAGTTTCACAGGCTCAGTCGTGCATTGACAACTTAATTCATTCACAGCTTAGAGTAGGTTGTGAAAATCTGATTCGATTTGATTAGATCTCGCTCTTAAATCAAGGACAATGCCCATTCTACATATGCAAAAACTATTCTAGTTAGGTGAAGTCATTTTAACATTCTAGGAAAGCTTATATGAATCATGTCTTTCAGCACATCTATAAGACTTGCACAGTTCGATCTTAAGTTTCACTTCATAAGTCTACTACTCCTTTTTTTTTTTTTTTTTTTTGCACAGTTGCACAAGAACTAGATTTATGAAAGTAGTTGAGTTATGTAACTTCTAGACTGACTCTCGGACTTTATAAAGGGCCATGTCAGTGTGGTTTTCTGCATGTCTTGGACCCTGACTTTTTTTTTTTTCTTTGAGCTGCAGCAGCAAAATTACCGGATGTCTGTCACAGAATTCTGAAAGGTTCCCCTCAAGAATAAAGCCAGCTTTTCTTCCACACCATTCCTCTGTATAACGCAATGTTTAGCAACTGCACTGACAGCGTTTGATCATTTTTCACTCTTTATAAGTACAGGTGTGTGCATAGGTGCTTGTTTTAGATGATAATATTATAAGGTTTTAGCTTCAGCATCTCCCCCCTTACACCTGCTGTTAAATAAACAACTGCTAATAGAGTCCTGTATGGAAGAATAGTCTAAAACTGGAATGGATCTGCAACAAATTCCTTTATATTTTTTCACTCTGATTTGGTCAATCTGATCTGAATAGTTACCTTTTTGCATGTACATTATGTGTGTACTGTTGTATTGGGATCAAGGTCACGTTGTCATTGTATTTGATTACATTTTATTATAATTTTTTGATTTCATGACCCATACATGCAGAGACAGAAAACATTGCATTGCTTTTTGGCTCCCTAAACAATTAGCTCGTTGTATTAATACTATAGATGGTAAATGTATTGCCTAACTTAAACCCTTAATGGACAGTCTTATCAATTATATTGTTGAAAACTTACAAATTACAATATTGTTGTCTTTATATCTGTTCAGGGCTTCCTATTCACATTATTCATTTCCTAAGCAGTTCACAAATAGTCCTACATTACCTTAGAGGTTTTAAATGTGTACATTAATGTGAATTACACCGAGGACGCACATAGTATTTCCAGTTATGTCATGTCATTTTCCATTGTTGTAATGTCATTTGCTGTGTGAATACCAGAAATTTAACAGCAGTTACACTAAAGCATAAACAGATTTTAAATTACTAGTACATCTATGCAGAAGCAGGACAGAGTTCATTTAGCTTTAGAAAGAACAAATGTAGCCTAAGATTTTGTATTTTCTTTATGTATTGTCTGATAAGCTGATAAGGTACTGTAGGTTTTTACAGCCACAATAACCAACATTTATTGCATCTCATCCATTATGTATTTTATATTTATTTGTATTAAAAACTGTATTGACCGTAGTTGTTTTGTCAGTTCCCTACCACATTAAATAAAGCTACTCTGAAAAGGTCCATCTCACATTTTTATTTCCTATTATTTTGCATTCATGACCATTTTATTAAGGTAATTTTTTTTTTAATCATGTCATATGTGTTTATTCGATTACACAGGATTATGGAAACAATTTACAAGAACAACATTAGTCATGGGTCTAAAGAGCACATAATGTTCACAAATTTAGGGTTGGTAAGTTATTTTTTATTTTTTTTATGTTTTGGAACGAAGACTTGTGTTCATCAAGGCTGCATTTATTTGTTAAAAAATACAGTAAAAACGAATGTGTTAAAGATTAGGTCTACAATAAAATAAAAAGTTTCCTATTTGTTTTCAAATGTGGTTTATACCTATCAAAGCAAAGCTGGATTTAAGCAGTTATTACTCCAGTCTTCAGTGTCACATGATCCTTCAGGAATCATTCTAATGCTGATTTGATGCTTAAGAAAATTTTCAATTATCAATGCTGAAAACAGTTGAGCTGCTCAGTATTTTTGTGGAAACAGTGACACATTTTTCAGAATTATTTGAACAAAGATCAAACGAACACAAATGTATGTTCCTATGTAAAAGTCTTTCTTCATAGTTACTTCTGATTAAATTTATGCATTCTTGCTTGACAAAATAATTAGATTCATGCAGAGTAAAAAAAAAAAACTTTTTGACCCCAAACTTTTGAACGGTAGTAGGCTATAATTTAACTGACGGCAATAAGAAGTTAAGAAAAAGTATCTGTAGTAGGCTAAATATTGTTTGCTTCCTGTATTTATTCTGTAGCTTTCTTTAGTCGGAGGGCTCGACAGTCATTTTGCAACCAGTTTCATTTCATGGCATCGAAAGGGCTTATACCGATTCGGTTCTTTAAGTTATTTCTAACTAGTAACTCAACGCATTCATGTACACGTACAGCACAGTTTTGCCGAGAGCTGCAGCTCGTTCATTGAGAAATTAGGCAGCCTTCCGTGGTGTTTGATTAGCAGGTCTCTGATGGGAGGAGTCGGGCTTGCCCACAGACTGAGTGAAAGACAGGCAGGCGATGAAGATGGTGGATCCAGACACACATTGGGCGGACCGTTAGCTCTCTGGAAACTGCAGCATACGAACAGGTGAGAGATATGACAGAAGAGATTGTTTTACGCGCTATGTAATCATCGTCTGTCACAAAAGCGGTTTTGTTAAGTAAAACAGGAATAGTGTAATGAAAAAATCATTGTATTTCAATGAGATTCATTCAATGATGCGGTTCGTTCGTAGTGATTTACTGTTGTGATGTTGCTTTCCCTGCGGATGGGCTGAACAGTGTTTGTTTACACTAGAAAGGACAATTGTTGCTGCGGAAAGCACTGCATTACTACTCCCGGTTACCAGATACAACACAAAAGAAATATGAGGGACCTAGGTTTAGTAACTTGGTTATCCAATGCAATTTGCGATGCAAACAATATTATCATCATTAGCAAACAAAAAAATGCCTTCAACTAATTCAGTTTCCAACTATGTTTGTGCGTTGATTGAGAGTGGTGTTAATTCTGATGACTAGAATAATAGTGACTTTCCGCTTCTCCAAAAAGATTTGTATTTTCCTGCAGGTTAAGGTTACACCAGTAGGTGGCAACAAGTGAGTGTGGTATTAGTGAATGACTAAATTCTTCACTCAATCCATTCGTTTCAAAACATCTACTGCCTATGGAGGCAACAAGGCACATCCAAATCCAATCATTGTGAAACATTCTTTCTAATTAGATACCTTCATCTGGGCTGCGTTTCCCAAAGGCAATATGGTCGCACGTTCTGTTGTTACCAGTACATTAGCAAACAAAAAAATGCCTTCAACTAATTCAGTTTCCAACTATGTTTGTGCGTTGATTGAGAGTGGTGTTAATTCTGATGACTAGAATAATAGTGACTTTCCGCTTCTCCAAAAAGATTTGTATTTTCCTGCAGGTTAAGGTTACACCAGTAGGTGGCAACAAGTGAGTGTGGTATTAGTGAATGACTAAATTCTTCACTCAATCCATTCGTTTCAAAACATCTACTGCCTATGGAGGCAACAAGGCACATCCAAATCCAATCATTGTGAAACATTCTTTCTAATTAGATACCTTCATCTGGGCTGCGTTTCCCAAAAGGCAATATGGTCGCACGTTCTGTTGTTACCAGTAGAGTTCAGCGGAACTTGGATCCATAGCTAGCTATACTTATGGGAAATGCACACCTGATCGATTTTTGAAGAAAGCATAGATGTGTCACTGTCTACGATATCCCACAATCCTGTTCGTTTGATTTTGTGACACCGCTTTCTCTCCTTATTGAGAATGACTCTGATTAACAACTAAATGAACAACATTCCTGCTAACCATTTTTGGTTCCCAGAACGTTCTGGGAATGTTACCCTACAGAGCAGTGGTGTGTGGTGCTGTTCTGAAATGAGGAGGCATAGTCCTTTTTTCTTTCTTTCTTTCTTTTTTTTTTTTTTTTAATCAAATGTAAATTCATGTCCCATTCACATTTTCTTGGTTAGATAAACATTACTTATCAGAAAAAGAAAAAAACAATTCTATTTTATATTTTTACATTAATAATGTAATCAATATTCTATTTATTAAAGACAAGTAGCCTATGTCATCATGCTGTTTTTAAGAATTTTACATTTATTCCAAAATAATAACTCAAGGCAGTAATCATTTAAACAATATATTTTATTTGTGAACTTATGTTCAGCTATTCTTTTTTTAATAGTTAACTTTTAACTATTTTTGAATTTTTTGGATCATCAGTCATCAAAGCTCAGTAAATATTGGTCACAGACACTTAGCGTGCTTACAATTTTACTAAAATTTTTACCAAGCTGATTACTCACTAAAAACTTTTTATTTTAAAGTCGTATTTTGACATAACAAAGTGAGATATAACTAAATGTGTGAGTTGGTTACTTACTTTTTTAAATTAGTCTTCCCATTAACGCCATTATATTGTTCATTCAGACTGATTCATGAACGTGGAACGCGCAAGAACTCAAGAGGTGGGATTTATCGCATGAACTGATCACAGCCAAACATAATCAGTCATATACATACTGTAAAAAAAAAAAAAAAACATGAATAGTGTCCATGAAGTCACCCGTAGGTTTCTGAAGAGCAATTTTGAAGCCCAAAGTGGGCGGAGCCGGCTGTCGCCATCATGGCAGTGTGTCACCGCAATATACTGTATAAAAACATGGACGTAGTCACTCCCGGATAATCGAAAATGGGCAAAGAGGCGGGAGCAGGTTGCTGAAGCCACGCCCACCTAGCTCGACGGTGGTGACAGCAGCGGCAATCCACCTGTCACTCAAGTGGCCACGCCCTTAATTATGCAGAACTTTAAGGCTTAATATAATTTAAACGGATGAGTTATAAAAAAATTCACCCCCCTCAGTTGTCATGAAGGGCAAAATTAGCTATATAGACCAAAATAATTTTTTGAACCAGGCTGTAAACATGTTTTTTTCTGCTGTAAAGTTGGGCATTTTAACATGGGGAGTCTATGGGATTGACTCCTTTTTGCAGCCAGCCTCTAGCGGCCAGTTGACGAATTACAGTTTAAGTCACTTCCTTGTTGGCTTCACGAGAGAGAGCGGGAGGTTGCCGCTTGGTCACCTGAATTCTGCGTGTCTCTGTGTTAATGAATGGCGCAGACGCGCGGTTTAGTGTACTACTCGTATTGAAGCGCGAGTAATGCTTCCGGTGATTTCAGCGTCTGCCGTCTCACTAATGAGGACATAAATACATGAACATCTCCAGAACTGCTCTGAGAGTCACTTCATGAGCATTTTACCGTTTCATTTGAGTAAAATTATCCTCATATCATATACACACAGAAATGTAAAGGTATTTACGGCAACCCGTCAAAATAAA